CCTTAGATAAATTCTTTTTATTATTTTGGGACGCTTTTAGAGTACACGGGGGGTGGTAAAAGGTCTACTACTTAACAGTAAAATTAAAATGTACTCCACAGAATGATCTGAAATTTCTAAACCTTTCTTCTCCTCACTCTCTGCCTGAAGGTACCCAGAAGTAGATCCCATTCACATGGTGCTCTTTCTGGCTCCTCAAACTCCATTTTCATAACAATGCTCACACTGTGCTTCCCCCAAGCCAGAAATACAGACTTGCCTACAACTGCCAGAGTCCTGTGCAGTCCTCTGCGCTCCCAGGCAAGGGAACAGGGAGCAGCTAGGTATGCTGCAAAAGATACCATCACTGATGCTAGAAAATAGTCTATTTAGTCTGTACCTAATTACCAAACAACTCAGAATCAATTGTGTGTAAATAAATAAATATTCTTACCAGAAATACCAAGACTTAAACATTCTAGGAATACTTAGTTGATTTTGCTCAGGTGATATATGAACTGGGTCTCAGATAGAGTCAGGAAGAAGGGATTTCAGAGTGTTAAGTGGAAAAAAGCACACAGAAATGACAAAACATCATGTGTTCAGGGAAAAGTAGGCCTATGTGGCTGGACAGCAGGGTTCAAATGTACATTGGAAGTGGCAGGGGTTGGGGAGAGAGAAGTATGTATGAATACGGGCAGTGGTGAGAGTTAACTAAGCAGAGGCACTTTGGGATTGGATTTTAAAAGGACTTGTATGTCATGTTAAGTAGTTTAGACTTAGTCGTATAATCCTGAAATTAGATGCATGGTTCAGATCCTAAAATTTAGAAGATAACAGTATGAAGCCATAGCATTTTGAAGGGGAGATATATTAGAGAAAGGAATGACTGAAGATAAGAAGAGCTACAGCAAAGCTAATTGCAAAAATGATAGGGCGCTAACAAAGACTGTGGGCGTGGTAATAAATCTTCCTAAAACATTTTTGATCAATTCACCCCCTCTGCTCACTGACTCCCTAACCTCACACTTGGCATTCAAGGCCTTTCATAACCTGGTTCCAATCTTTTGTGTAATCCCAATGTGCTCCTGTGCAAATTCTGAATTCCAGCAATTTGCTATTTCCCCCCCAATATATAAAACTTTCTGCCTATATACTATTCCTTCTACCTAGAATTCTCCTGGTTCTGTCCACCTCTGGTACAACTCAATTACCATCTATTGACTTAATTCTCTCTGAACTGTTACAGCATTGTGTTCATATTCTAAATATCCTCTACACGTTTTATATCTCTGCTTGAGTTCCTTGTTTTATATCCTGCCCACTCAGTCTCTCCAGGTGCCTGATACCTAGCAGGTTTCTGTTATGGACTGAACAGTGTCCCCCCTCGGCCCCCCTCCTGCCCCCAATTTCGTATGTTGAAGCCCTAACACCCAGTGTGACTGTTTTTGGAGACAGGGCCTTTAGGGAGGTAATTAAGGTTAAATGAGGTCATAAGGGTGGGACACTAATCCCATAGAACTGGTGTCATTGTAAGAGGAAGAGACACCAGAGATCTCTCTTCCTCTGTGTGCACACAGAGGTCATATGAGGATACAGTGATGAGGTAGCAACTTACTTTGAAATGCATCAAAAATTAAAAATAAAAAAGGTGGATTGATGGACAGATTGAGGGATGGTATGTGATCTAGTAAATATAGTGAATCACTGTAGAACCTACACAGTGGGTACATGAGTATTCATTGTAAAATTCTTTGAACTTTCTACAGTGTTTCAACATCTTCATAATAAAATTCTGGGGAAAAAGTAACTAAATCTTTATAATAAAAAGTACACAATTTTCTGTTTCTCTTCCACAGTATTCAGTGCAGTGCTTTTCACATATAAGGTACCTACATACAAAATGTAATGGTTTCACAGCTCTAAAAAACATAAACTTTGATTAATAATTTGTGAGTGTGCCAGTTAACTACAGTTTATAATTTTACAAAATTCATTTAAATGTAAATGTTATACTAAAATTTTATTTTCAGATACATTTTTTTACATTTGTATGCCTCTGAAGCAGTAGGGGCAAATGTTCTTATACTCATTCACAATGAGGTTAAATGATATGCCAAGGCCAGCTCTGGAAAACCTGATCTTCTGACTTTTAACCCAGGGTATTCTCCATTATAAACCACACATTTGGAAAAGTCCTAGAGAAACAATCTAAAAACTTCTCCAGGTTTCACTAATGAGATTCATTTTATGACTTTTTAATTTACATTATCTCTGTGAATAAAATGGTTCTGCAAGACAGTTTAGCTTTTGCCCACTTACAACATCTCATCTGAACTTCCAAAAGAAAATGAAAGTGTTCTTTAAGCACTGTTGAATGTTTCAACAGCTCAAAGAGATCCTTTGAAATTTGGTTTTAGAGATTTAAATAATTATAGAGATGGAAGCCATTTTAAATGTTATTTAACATAATCTTATTTTACAGATTCAGAAGTTAATTATGGAAGGGGTCAGGTGATTAGCTCAAGGTCCCAAAGCTGTTAATGGCAGAAGTAGTACTAGAACCCAGGACATCCAACTCCCTAACCAGGGTTCTTTCAGATAAACTTTAAGGCTATCATAGCTCAATTATCTGAGCTCATTAACCCAAGTTAAATCACAGGACTAACGTGACAAGACCAAGGCCACAAATGGGCTGGTTAACCTTAGAATCCAACAGTCTTTTTTCTACCTTATTTAAGAGTTTTACAAATATTTGTATTTGTTAGGCACTTTGATCACATGATCACATTTGAAGTCTGCTGCTGGTGTGCTGATCTAATCTGCGCAGCTGAAGTGGTGAAAAGGGTGTATATAATGCTGGAAAGACTCCACAGAAACTTCTTTGACCAAATGATGTTTGTCAAATAATTCAATCTGTTGAGATTATCTTCAAGAATATCACTCCCTAAAAACGGATGCAAGCACACAGCTTACTACAGAGGTCAGTGATACGTGAAATGATTTTTCATTATCTTTAGTTAAAAATACATTTTTCATTATTTTTAAATTCCACACTCTTATCAAGACAGCAGCACTTATGCTTACATTGGAACAGATAACTTTCATTGCAACTTCGTCAAAATCCAGACCCCCTGTTCTTTAATTCGTGGGTTAATAATCAGCCCCAGACCTCTGGTGTTTGAATACATAAAAGACATAACCTTTTTCTTAAATGTTACATTTTCTCTAATGGTTGGGAAGGCAGAGAACCAGCGCAGGTACTAGGATTAATCGACCCTTCAAACCTCCAAACGTTCTGACCCATCAAAATAGTGAAACTCGTACAATTTTTTTGTTTTGTTCTATCAAGTAAATAAGCTTTCCTTCACTTTCTTCTCTCCTATAAATACTCAGCTTTAAACAGGAGGGGAATGACAGAGACTAAGAACTGAGTTCAGACAATGGCTAAATGGTTGTTGCAATCCTTACCCACCCGGCCGGACTCGGCTTTGCCACCGAGGAACCACTGGAGTTTCTGGGTGCAGTTACTCAAGGCCTGGGAGAGCCAGGACCCCAAGGCAGCAGCCTCGCTCCCTAAGGCCAAGCCCGCGCCCCCATGACCTCCAATGTCTCGAAAAAGGAGTTTTGAAATCTCCGCTTTTGCCACAACTGGTCCGCACTCCCTCCCAGGCCAGAATAGGGAACAGGGTCCGGGGACAAAAGGAAGGTCACGCCTGCCGCGTGAGGAAAACCCCGTCACCTGGAACTCGGCGAACTCACAGCTCACACCGCCACTGGGCGCCGCCATATTGGACACACACGAGGCCCCCGCCGCGAGCCAATCATCGCGAAGCAAAGGTGTCCGCGGCACCGCCTAACAAAAAATATTGAGAGGAATCTCAGCAAGAAAGCTGAGCTCGAGGTTTGTCTTTTCCCCTTAGCCTCGCCCACATGAAAACCCGTAACGCTGCTATCCTTCTTTTCACTCCTGTGCTTTTAACATGTCCTCCTGGAACTGGCCCAGGTGCATAGATCGAAGAATGTCAGAACTTGAAGGGATCGTTTTACTCCAATCCCATTTACTTAACAAAAAGGGAAACAGTTTCCTGGTCGCACCAACAAGGTGGTTTGAGAAGGAACTCTCAAGTAGAAGTGAGGTTTTTCTTAACCCTCCCGTCCCAACCCTTGAGCAGAGGGGCTTTTGTTCTTTAAGAATTTGCGCCCACCAAGAAATGTCAAGAAAAGACATTGATGGCAGTGGGGGGTAAGGGTTGAATAAGGTGTTCAGGTGTGGAAATAATGAAATGTTTAGTTTTATAAAAATAGGCAAATAGAAAACAACATAGGAAGCATACATGTGAATTTCTCAGGTAGCCTGAGAGATACTCCCTAAAGCCAACCAAGAGATGAAGGCCACTGGTCACTAAGAACCCAATTACGCAGTTTTGAAAAAGGCATGTACACATTCATTGAAAATACTGAAAAAAGTGTACTGGAATACTGATTTATCTAGGCAGTGTGATTTCGGGGTCTACAGGTCACAAAAGTCCTACTTAGTAAGCATATTACTTTTCTCCTTTTTTGTTTTTTTTGCGGTACACGGGCCTCTCACTGTTGTGGCCTTTTTCGTTGCGGAGCACAGGCTCCGGACGCGCAGGCTCAGCGGCCATGGCTCACGGGCCTAGCCGCTCCGCGGTACGTGGGATCTTCGCGGACCGGGGCACGAACCCGGGTCCCCTGCATTAACAGGCAGACTCTCAACCACTGTGGCACCAGGGAAGCCCCACTTTTCTTTTATTTTAAACGGATACTTTCTTAGGTGCAGAGAAGGCCATTGCAAAGGCCCTCGAAACCAAGACTCCAAGACAGCAGTTTTAGGGCCGCTTCCAAGACGCGGCGCCAACAGAGGCGTGGCTGGGCAGGGCACGCTGCCCGCACAGTCTGAGCGCCAAGCACGACCCACACGCTCCACGCTTCTAGTAGGCCCCGCCCATCGCCCGGACGTCACTCATGACCCGTTCGTTCTGCCCTCACCTCCCACAAGCCCCGCCCCAGAGTCCTGCTCGGGTCTCTCGGTTCTCTGCGCTTGGCGACCTTGAGCTTATCCGCGCCACCGGCCTTGCAGCACTGTGTTGGTCGGCGGAGTAGGCGGCCATGGGGAGCCTCCGCGGCCTGCGCCTGGCGGCTGGTGAGACGCGGGCTGGGCAGGGGGTGGGCGGGAAGCCAGCTCGGCCGCTGTGGGTGGAGGAAGCCTGCAGCCTCCTCAGGCATGGGGGTTGCTCTGTTCCATTACGCTTTCCCCTCAGGTAGTTCGGAATCCAACCGCAGGGTAGTAATAGGGGGAGAGAGCAAGGGATGAGCGAGCAACTGGTAAGCAAGACACTGCGGGCTAGCCGAGAGTGACCCTCTGCATCCAACCAGCTGCCACCAACTTAACGAACCCTTTTGCTCCCGGATCACTTTTCCGACCCCCAGCCCCTGTGAGCTCAGTTCTTAATGCACTTCCCATCCCTAAAACTACCCCATTGCCTGATTCATTCAGCTTTCCACGAGTCTCGAGCCTCCCCCTCCCCGCCACTCCCACCCCCACCATCTCTAGAGTTTATCTCTCAGAGAAAATTTTGAGTCTAGGGTTTCCTACCTATTTGTTATCTGATTAGGCAAGGGATGTATGGTCTCCCAGAATAACAGTAATTGTTTTCCTAAAATGGGGGGGTACATTTCTTTTAAATAATTCTACAATAAAGTGCTTTAAATTTCTTGGAGGAGAGTGTTATGTAAATGCAGGATCTGTGGTTTGTTTCCCTTGTAGGCATTTGTGTAATGACTATTTGGAGTCGGGGTTTAATTTGCCTTCTTGGGGAACCAGTAGAGCCTTTGCTTAGTAGGGGCTGAGAAATCAGTGTTTGCCTCTTGGCTGTTTTCTAGGCACCAGGGCAAATCACACTTTTGGTTACCTTTATGAACTTTGATAAGGTGTAATGATTGATTCCTTAGTACCAAAACGTTGTTTAATTCAGATTTTACAAGAAGAATCGCCCTAAATTTGACTATTGAGATAATGCAAATGTACATTGTAAATGTAATTGAAATAATGTAAAAAAAAAAAGTTATCCTTGACATTTCTTATTTTGCATTTCAGTGGAGAATGGACTGGAAAACATGTCTCATGCTGAATATTATTTACTTCCTTTAAAACAAATACCCTTTCTGCTAAAAGAGATTGATTTCATTGATTTGTTCAGCTTAGATGAACTAATTCCCCTAAAATCTTTTGTACACATCCTGTTAACCTTTTCAGCAAGGAGAGTGAAAGAATCATTGCTCTGTAAAAAAAAAAAAACCCTGTAAAAGGGACTTTGACTACAGAACCAAGACTGAGTGTTTGTAAGTAATTCATCTTCTTGCCTTGAGAATATATTTATGTACTATAAGGATTCCAAAGCCTCTCTCCAAACTTTTGACGTTTAAGAACTTTACCACTGGGCAGTCAGTCAAAACAAAATTCCTTGAGCAATTTAAGAACAATTTATTTTACTCCAGATAGATCCACTAAGGATGTTATATGAGCACCTCTTCCCAAAGGATCTCTGAATGTCTGATGTTTTGTGAGCAACTTCAAGCAATTTGCTCCTTCACCCACTTTTGCCCATTTTATTTCTAAATACTTTGACCTACATTGTTTTACTTGATTGATTTCTCATAGTAGCCCTCTTAGGTAAGTCTTATTGTCTCCTCTCCATTTTACAGATGAATAAACATGGGTCCGAGAGTTAGATGACTTGTCCCAGGTTGATCCGCCATAAAATTAACGTTAGAGTCAGGAGATGAGTCAGTGCCCTCTAATTCTGGAACTGTACTCTTTGCTTTGCTCAGACTGCTTGTTCAGATATATGTGTACATGTATTTGTCATAGCTAATAGGGTCTCTTTGGTGTGAAATGGAAGAGTCATGAAATGCAGATTTACTTGTGAAATGGAAGCAGTCATTCATATGCAAATAGTTTTCAAGTAAGAACGATTTAACTGGCAACTTTACTAAAGGAATGGTAGATCAGATAGAAACATAATCTAGGCATACCTCATTTATCCAGAATATTATTGGAAGAAGATACTTTAGGTGAATGAAATTTCAAAAAGCCAAGGCTTAATCCTTTAAATGATGGACCCTTATTTTTAATTGTTTCTGTTGGAAATCTTTGCTATACTCCCTTAACAAACAGAATGTAGGCTTTTTCGATCTTGAATTTGTTTACTGTTTTGTAGATGTACCTGTAGAAATAGGTCAGGGTTGTTAACTTTTGGTTCTTGGTTCTTGGTTCTTTGGTTCTTCACAGATGAGAGGTTCTGTGAACCTCTGAAATTGCATTCACATTTTTATGATTATATGCCTGTTTGGGGAAGAGAGGATCCATAGCTTCCATCCATTACTCAGAGCAATCTGTGCTAAGCTAAAAAGCACTTTTATGATGATTTGGAACTAAATGGCTATTGACCCACACTACTGTGGGTTCTATGAGGGTAAAGATGGGGTCTGTTTTGTTTTTACTAAATCTTCAGCACTTACCAGTGTCCAGCTCATAATAGATAGGCAATAGATACTTTTTGGAATAATTGTTTTTAATATTTTATTATTTTTAATAAAATAATTGTTTTTTATAATTATTACTTTCTATATAATAATTATTAGATCAAAGGAATGGAATGGTCTTATAAGAATGTTTCTTCACACCTTCAGAAAAGATTTACTGCCCTAAACTCCTTTGACTTAACAGCAGATTTTAAAATGAATTTATTATTGTTATTTTATCAATGCAGTGGGCCATGGGCATTCTCCTTGTCAGTTTTACCCACATCCTAGAGCATTAGAATCAATGGATAACTTAAAAGTCATGTAGTCATGTAGTACCCTAAGTTTACAGTTGAGGAAACTTAAGGCCCAGGAAGGAAATTGACTTGCTAAGGGTCACACAATTACAAAGCTGGGAATATCTCCTGGTTCCCATTCTGATTTTATTTCTACTACGTTCTGCTCCTTCATTGTACTTTTTGTTTGTTCTTACTAATCAGCCCTAAATGAGTACATGCCCATTTTTACCATTTTATGCCTCCAGTCTTTGGCTTTGCTTATCACTCCCTCCAGGTCTTGCCAACAGGTTTTTACTAAGCAAACACTGTGTGCCCTGTTCACTATGAAACCTCTGGAATGAGTGGACTGCCACTCTTCCTAGGGCTAAAGTTTATTGCAATGAATAAGCAGACCTATATAATATACCTGGAGAGCTTATACAAGACAGTATAAAGTTCTAGATTGCAGAACAGATTTTTTTTTTTTTTTTCGGTACGCTGGCCTCTCACTGCTGTGGCTTCTCCCGTTGCGGAGCACAGGCTCCAGACGCGCAGGCTCAGCGGCCATGGCTCACGGGCCCAGCCGCTCCGCGGCATGTGGGATCTTCCCAGACTGGGGCACGAACCCGTGTCCCCTACATCGGCAGGCGGACTCTCAACCACTGTGCCACCAGGGAAGCCCTGCAGAACAGATTTTAAATGCTGCTCTGGTGTCCTGAAGCTGGTTCCTCCTGGCTTTGTGCATATCTCTTTCCAGTTTCACAGGTAGTCATGTTACACTGGTAGCTTGAGATCTGCCATGGTGAGGGTTATTGGCAAACACTACAAATCAGGGCTTTTACCCACCACCCCCCTCCCAAGAGCCAGCATACCACTGGTTTTAAGAATTCAGAGATTGAGGGTTCTTTTCCCTAAACTATGTAGCCTCTGAGAGCATAATCTGACCTTAAATATTTTTACCACTTCATCCTCATTTTCTTAGTGTTGACTCAAGTTGCAACCCCCATTTTTTTTAATGAAAGTACATAGAACAGAAAATTTTACAATTCATCCCAAATGGTAAGAGTAAATATTGTTTTAGTCATATATATGTACACACACATAGGTATACGTATATATAAATGTATGTGTCTGTATTGGTGTACTTGGTCATTAAATAAAATGCATTTTTCCCTTGGAAAAAAAAAAGAATTCAGAGAAAGGAAAAGTAGTGTAAGTTAGGATTATCTACTGAAGGTTCCATTGAAACAGAAGGGATGGGAGAGTGACACAAGCAAAGGTGGGGGCAGTAATGAGTCTGCAGAGGGTGTGGGGGGAGAAAGGGCAGTAGGGAGAGAGGATTATCTTGGATTTCAGGAGGTACTAATAGGAGATGCAGTTTGGCCTTTGAGGGTTTGAACCAGATGAATTTGGACAAAAAGGAAACCTTCAAGAAGAAGTCATTAAAAAATATTTTTGGAAAATTAACATGGTCGCTGCATACAGCATGAATACCTGCTACCTGTGAAAATATTACAGTAATCCGTAGGTGAGGTGATGATGAGAATGACGAAAAGAGAATGTATCTAGGAAGTATTTTGAAGAAACTGTTAGTATGACTTTCAGACAGAGTAATTTAAGGAAGACATAAAGACTGAAGTTTTTGAGCATGGAGGACTGAAGGAGTGCTACTCCGTTGTCAGAAATAAGAAAGTTGGGAAGGCTTACTGATTTGGCAGAGAGGATGGTGCACTATTGAGTGGGAGGTGGCATTGAGTTATAGGTGAGGATGGAACCTCAGTCCCAGACCTGAGGACAAAGGAGGGATAAAGTTAGGGAAATATATGGGAGCCATCAGTGTAGAGCTGATTATTAAAACAGAATGGAGGAGTCCTCCCTGAGAGCAGTGCGGGACAGAGGCAAAAACTGAACCTTGGAGGCCTGACGTAGTGTAAGCAATAGGAAGTGGCAGAGGATATTAAAGAAGGTAGATCACAGAGGTCGGAGATGAAGGGAGAAAACGTGGTGGTGTAATGTAAGGGAGGACTGAGTCCTTGTAGAAGGATGAGATCATTAGAGTCAAATGGCCACAAAGATGGGAAGAGGAGAGTCAGATGAGCTAATGAAAAGATTCTAAAAGACATATTCATATGACTAGAAAGAGATCACTAATTTACAGCAATTTTAGTAAAATGAGTGGGGGAAGAAACATTGTAGTTATCGTGTGGGTGATGGGGTCAAGGTAGTAAATACATGCCACTTATTCAGTCACTTCCACTCTGAAAGGAAGGAGGTAGTATTTTATTTATAGGAGCTGTTGAGAGCAAGTGAATGTTTTGTTTGAGATAGTGGACCCTCAGTA